ACAAAACATAAAAAATATTTTTTTTTAGTAAAAATTTTAAACAAATAACAAAAAAAATGTATTTTTGTTCTAAGGAAAAACATTTTTCTATTAATTTTTTTTTATCACATATTTTTATAATTGTTTATAGAAAGCAACTTTTTTTTTTTAATTCATACATTTTATATAAAAAAATAAATTTAAAAAAAATTGGTTGATAAAAGAATAAATTAATATAATAAATTATAAAAAATTAAATTTTAGAAATTTTTTTTTTATAAAAAAAAAATTTGAATAATTATTTTTATTCAAAAAAAAAAATGCTTTAAAACAAATAAAAAAAAATATTGTTTTAATTACTTATTTTCAGTATATTTAATATATTCCAGAAAACAAATTGTGTGAATAAAAGTTTGTCTTTTAAGTTATGAAAATTTCGGTAACTTTAGTTCAGTGGAAATTTTTAAGTGTTTTTTTGTCCTTTAATTTTGGTTCTTAAATATTTGCAAATTTACCGTTGTTTTCGGTTTTTAATATCATCACACCTTCCAGAGGCTTACTAATAAAGGAGTTATTATTGAAAGTGACAGTGAATTTTGGCACAATGGCATAATTTTTCCAGTTTTTAACGGCTACTTCTCCTGAAAGGTGAATGCTTTGAGATTAAAGAAAAATTGTACGAATTCTATTTTGTAAATTTACGCTGATGCAAATATGCCGCAAACCAAGACAAAATGCATGAGCAATAAAAATAAATGACCAAAAAATAAAAAGATGCCTAAACAAATGCATATACACGGTGCACACGCATACACGCAAACACGAGGCATAACGAAAGCAAAACGTATTGTACTTGATAAATGGCGACCGTTAAGCAAATCTAATGACGCAGCGGCGACACTTGTCGACAATGACAATGAAGAATGCCGCAGAATGCGCATCGCAATGCGAGAAATGCAAGAAGAGAGCTGTGCATGCTGACTGCGCATGCGCGCCACAGACACAGCGCAAAGGTGCACAGCAGGTAGGCGACTGGAGAAATGCATGCGCATGGGCATGGCAGGATCTGCATGCACTTAATCCTGGATAAAAACATGAATGTACATATCTATTTGTTTGTGTGTGTATTTTTTTTTCTGTTCTGCCAGCCAGCCTCTTGCGATTTTCCTCACCTTCACAGCTTGTCTTTGGTGTTAGTTCCAAGGAAATTGTTTTACCTGTATTCAAAAGTAGACACACACACACACATACACACATATATATGTATACACATATATTCTTTAATAGTGGCTTAGTGTGTTTCATGGTCAAATGTTGGTTGTAGGTGCAACAGCAACAACAACACTAACAATAGACACGTTGTTAAACCTAAAAGCAGCACTTACTCTTTGTTGTTGTTGCTGTTATTGGTGATTACGGTACGCTTGTGATTAGGCAGAGGGATTAGAAAATTTCCAACCCTCTGTTAGCATCTTTTCACATGCGCATACACACACCTACACACAGCTATTGTATTATATTACCGCGGCAATCTTGAATTTTGAAGAAAATTGTCCGTAATTCTTCTTTGCACCTATTTGCTGTGCTCAGGTGTAGCACATACAATGCAACATTGTTGTTGTTGTCAATTCCATTGTTTTTGTACGCTATTAAGTATTACAGTGTTTCATGTTTTTGTTTTTTTTTTGTTGCTTTCTGCTGGATTCAGTCGGCCGCCTTTCAATAGCTGATCTCAGCTCTTATCCTGTTGCTCATTAACCCGCCATGCAATAATAAATTAAAATAATTTGAACTGAAGCGACAGCCACACAAAGGGGGCGGACAGACCTTGTGCAATGGCTGATATGATGGACGGGCGGGATAAATCTGTCGGACTGGCAGACGAATGAAAACGATGGGAATAAGTAGCGAAGTTGCTACGAACTATGAATGATCGCATCATCGATTGAATGAGCCAAAGACTGTGATAGAGTAGTAGATTGTAAAAAGACTACAAAAGATAAGCCGCAAGAAGGCTGAAATATTGTGCGACATTGGCAGACTGCAGCTATTAGGCTGATTATGTATACGGTAGCCATTGAAGTAAAGCTAAGAATTTGTAAAAAGAGTTCTTGAATAGAAGATATATAATATTTCAGAACTAGATATGAGAATGCAAAAAAATTAAGAACATTTTGATGTTAAATTATAAACATATAAGCTGTTGAACTTGTGGAACGGTTTGTTGAAAGAGATTTGGCATAGTTTTTGAGTAGAATGTTGGAATAATAGCATATACTAAAATCAAGTCAACTATAGCATGTTAGAAAAAGCTAAATATAGTAATAATTAGTCATCTTTAAACTTTTGGAACGGCTTTCTGACTTATAAAGCCGATAAACGTTTTTTAATATAAAATATATAAAATTTTAGTCCTGAATATGAAAATGGAAAAAAGTTAAAACTAAGGAACTGTTGATATAAAGTGTTTGACTTGTGGGACGGTTACTTTAAGGAGTTCTATGATAGTTAATTATTAGAATATTAATTTAATACATGAAGATACATAACTCTCAAGTCCTCAATATAGTCACATTCGACCAATTCGATGCGATAGGTGCACGGAGAAACAGTAAATATATTGGATTTCGAATAATAATGTCTATCATGTCATCTCAGATGCTAAATAAGAGCAAATAGAACTAGAACATGATGCGAAATATGATATCGGTTCTCTGAGCGCAGATCCATAACTAATTGCGACTCTATTTGAAAACCCGAGAGTTCTATTTAATGAAGTTTTACTAGCAATTTCTAGCTTTCAGGAATTTTTTTTGACTCATAAGACTTTTCAATATGAGTTATTTGTTTTTCGAGAGACGAAGGATGGGAAGCCAGGCGGCCGTGATAGCCAAGACAGTTGGGGAATATAGCTAGTGAATTAATCTTTATGAATTTAATTGTTATGTTATGTAAAAACCGTTTTTTTTTTTAATTTTTTTTTCTAATATATATATATATTTAAATATAATTTTTTTTAAATGCATTTTTCAATTTGTTTTGTTTACTTATTTTATATTTTGAAATTCTTATTCTTATTCTTATTTATTTTTATTAATATTTTTTTGTTTTGATTTTTCATTTTAAGTACTTATTTTTAATTCTTAATTCATTTTTTTTATACTTTTTTTTTAATATTTGATTTTTTGTGTCGAAATTCTTTCCGAAGTAATTGTTATGTTATGCCTACACATGTACATACATATAGTTACATATTATATAAGCTTGCATACGATGCCATCGTCATTCCGCTCGCTTCCTACACATTATTATGCATTTTCTTTGATTTAACTCATTTCCCTCTAATTTAATTGACCCCCACTTCTTATGCATTATTCATTTCCACACTTTATTCACTGTATTTCAAGGTGAACGTATTGATTTTTTTCCAATTGCCTGTCTATTAATGCTGCTTGTTCTTCCCGAACATTACCACACCAGCGTAGTATTTTTGTTTTGTTTTTGTAATTGCATTTTCTTTGAGATTTTAGCCGCAACAATAGCAATTACCTTTCCCAAATCGATTCTATACGTGTTGTTGTTGTTGTTGTTGGATGTGTATAAACCTTTAATTTCACTTGTTGCTTTGCCACATGTTGTTGTTGTATTCGCAGTCTGTTGCAGTCAGCTGCTGTCGCGTTGCAAGTAGAAGCACACACAGGCACACATACAAACATGTACGCCACCACCTGCCGGTTAAGACGCGCCACTCGTTTGGCGCCAGTTGAATTCGTCACAGGCGCACACATTTGCGTACCCTTAATGACCGCAGTCAGCAAAGCAACAATAACATAGCAGTTATTTGTATGCGCATATCTGTCTGCTCATTTATAACTAAGCACTCTTTCAGAAATAAGAAGTTATGTTTTTAACTGCGTTAGAAAGGTCACGCTGTCACGCCTACTGCGTCGAATCGAGCCCTTAAATACTTTCGAATTGAAATGCCGTTGTGCTTAATTGAGTTATTGCAAAGATTTGCGAGTTGCTACAAAGAGTACATTGATTTGTGAATGATTCTGGAGTAGTTTTTTATACTTAATAGGGACTGGAGATCACCCATTTGAAGTACAAAGTCGTTTATTTTGAAAGTTCTTTCCAAAAAGCTGAAAATTTAATGGGTTATGGCGTAAAGAAAGCGATTTTTACTATGCGGGCCTTACGCAAGATAACCTCATATTCAATATTATGTAAAGCTAAGATTACAGTGAAGCTTCTTAGAAATCAAAATTCAATAAAAACACTAAAATGAATGCCAAACAAGAAACAACGTTAACTTCGGCAGCACTCAAGCTATTATGCCCTTCGCAGCAGCATTTCTTAAGGCAACTATATGTAGATTTAAACATGGTTCGATCTTCCATGCCAAATTTCGTAAAGATAGCTTGCGAGAAAAAAAAATTTTCCTTACAAGGACTTGGTTTTGATCGATCAGTTTGTATGGCAGCTATATGCTATATTGGTCCGATTTGGGCGGTTCCGCCAAATAAGTAAATAAAGTAAGTGTACAAAGTTTCATCGATTTTCGAAAAACTGAAGGAGTAGTTCGCCTATATAAATACATTATCAATATATTTTGCTCAGACGAGCAACCTTTTATTAAAAGCGGTAGGTACTATAAACGAACTATACTACTGATGTTCGAGTGACTCTAAGCTTAAATTAAAACACCAAAACCTACTGTATTCTCCCAAGATCAGAAAATTTTTGAAGTTATATGTGAATGAAAGTTTGTCCTGCAATATTTTGGCCTATAAAGTCTTCGTAATTGTGCAGTTCTATTGGAGTGGACTCCAATCGTCGATTAATTGCACCAGTGGACGCTTGTAAATACTTTCCTAAAACCTATTTAAAACTAAATTTTGGTAAATATCTACAAATATATAGGTCCTCGTCTTGAAAATTGAAACCTTGCTTTTGAATACCTGCACCAGTTATCTCCAATATCAGAGATCCATATGGGTACGAGTGAACATTTCAATAGCTATTTGTGTTCTCTACGAGTTTTGTTTATTCTTACATAGTGGTATAAAAGTGGACCGAGAGTCAAGTTTCAAACAAAAAAAATATTTTCATTACAGTCGTCTAATATTCGAAAAATTTTATCGGATGGAAGACCAACTAATAAAGTATATAGGTAAGTATTATGATATACATCGCAAAATAAAGATTATTAAGACTAAGTTGAGTATGACTTGTTGCTCAACACTTTTCAGTAAGCTCACAGCCTCGGATATTTCTAAATCTAAAAAGACAACATTTACAAATATAGGACTCTCTTCGTCAAGACTAACACTCCACTTACCTATGCCACATAGTCCACGAAAGATGCGTGAACAAGCAGGTAATTGTGGATTGCATTGTGAACAAGGCTCTCCATAAAGAAAGCCATCTTCATATTTTTTAAGCGTGCGTGGCCAGTAATAACAAACAAAGAGCGTACCATCGGAGAGACTGAAAAATAGATTTATAAATAAGACAAACCGTAGTTGTTACCGTTAGCACGCACTCAATGCTCACTTTGCGGCATTACAACCAATCTGTTCTACTGAAGGATAAATCATTTGCGAGTAGTTGCCAATGAGACCGCTTTTTCGTTTTTCTTTAAAATTCTCCCATTTTTCACGATAATTGAATTCATTGTACCATTTGCGCACCAAATGGGCCGCCCATTGGCGATGTATAACACCGTGATGAAAGTGAAAATTTTGATTCACTTGTGTCTCACGGGGACCTAAAGCGCGAGATGTAGGGAGAGACGGAGAGAGAGAATGGTGTGCGCGAAAAACGCATTAGAGAAGATGAGCAGAAGTTTTGTCCCAAAGTAAACTAGATATTACCAACTTTTTGACAAGAATCAGGTTCCACACGACATCTTCTGAGAAAACGCTCAGCTCTGATTTGCAATAGATCGCTCCAATGCTGTTATGAGGAACGAATGAGATTTTTTGAAATTAGCTGAGTTAAAAACGAAAAGTATCTATAATAGATCATATTGTGTGCAAGAGCAGAAAGTTAAGGTTTCAAATGCTGAGTTCTGTATCTTCTTGATGATAAAGAAAAACTCGAATAAGAGCGGAGAAGAAACGACTGCTCGATTTTGTGTCAAGAAATAAATACATATTTTAAATTTTCCCCCGCGCTTTTCTTACTTACCACGATATTCATGTTCGCTATATTATACTGCTTTGCCACTCGATTTCGCAAACCATTATGACCAAGTAAAAATTGATAAATATCATCAGCGCCTAATTTGAGAGGTGTAAATGGCTGACATTGTGGTGGTCGAGACTAAATGGCATGAAAGAGAGAATTTAGACTGAATTTTGAAACATAAAAATCATAAGTTTCTCAGATCGTATAGTCTACGGAGTTTTAGAGAGCGAATAAGTTTCAGTTCTAGTTATAAACTGCACTAGTTGAAAGCAATTGACCCGTTAGAGACTCTTGCGCTCTTTGACGCGAATTGATCGCTATTAGTCGGCTGTTTTCTATTGCTTTCGCGAAATGTTCGTTTCCTAAAACTTTTTATCTTACCACGCACATAATGTGTGGCACTCCATATCCACAAGTGATATTATTTTGACAAGAAACAGTTGGAATCGTTTTATCAAAAATTGAGGAAGCAGCTTCTATAAGGCCAAATTGGAACCAAAAGTAAAATAACATTTTGGTTTTAGAAAAAAAAATCAGTTTTGTATATTTTTTGTATTTTTTATACTGACATTCCATTTTCTATTCGGAAACAGAAGTATGCAAACAGAGATGCTTTGGAAAGTAGAAATTTAATTTTTTTCTTTACTTTTATTTTCAAGTAGTTCGAAGCGTGATATGAACCTTTCAATCCGATCACATAAATAAAATAGATAACGGTAAAGCGGAGTGCCTTGCAACGGCTTTTTAAGAGCTGATACTTGGAGAGTGCTTCTCGGAGGTGTCTACCAACCGGGTTTTCGGAGCACCAAGCGACTTACACTGTTATATACCCTGTGTATATGTTAATATTTAGTTGTACTTTCTTTTAATATTTTTGATTATTTCTTAAAAATAATTTTCAATATTAATTTAACCATTTTTATACTCTCGCAACCTGTTGCTACAGAGTATAATAGTTTTGTTCACCTAACGGTTGTTTGTATCACCTAAAACTAATCGAGTTAGATATAGGGTTATATATATATAAATGACCAGGATGAAGAGACGAGTTGAAATCCGGGTGACTGTCTGTCCGTCCGTCCGTGCAAGCTCTAACTTGAGTAAAAATTGAGATATCTTTATGAAACTTGGTAAACATATTTCTTGGTACCGTGAGACGGTTGGTATTGCAGATGGGCGTAATCGGACCACTGCCACGCCCACAAAACGCCATTAATCAAAAACAAATAACTTGCCATAACTAAGCTCCGCAATAAGATACAAGACTGTTATTTGGTACACAGGATCACATTAGGGAGGGGCATCTGCAGTTAAAACTTTTTTTTAAAAAGTGTGCGTGGTCCCGCCTCTAATAGGTTTAATGTGCATATCTCCTAAACCGCTAATGCTATAATAACAAAATTCACTAGACGCAAATGTTTTTAGCACTTCTATTGACACTGTGTGAAAATAGTTGAAATCGGGTGGCAACTCCGCCCACTCCCCATATAACGGTACTGTTAAAAACTACTAAAAGCGCGATAAATCAAGCACTAAACACGCCAGAGACATTAAATTTTATCTCTGAGATGGTATAAGATGACTTTATAGGAACCGCGTTCAAAATTAGACAGTGGGCGTGGCACAGCCCACTTTTAGGTGAAAACCTATATCTTGAGATCTGCTCAACCGATTTCAACCAAATTCGGTGCAAAACGTTCTTTTCATGTTTCTATGTTATAGTGCGAAAATGGGCGAAATCGGACTACAACCACGCTTACTTCCCATGTAACACCATTTTCAATTCCATCTGATTCTTTCACTTTCCACTATGCAAATCAGGTAACAATGATTATATCGGGGTAAAACTTTGCGTGAATAATGCAATTAAAGTATGCCACCTTGCGGCCAAAAATTGTCTTAATCGAACCAAAACTGTTCAAACCCCTAGGTACTAAATATGTGGACCCCAGTGACTATAGTTGACCTTCTACCGAAAATATCAGTCAATCCACAAAAAAATCTCAAACGAGTATACCATTTGACTTTGCGAGAGTACTTAGCCCTTCCTTACTTGTTTATATGCTTTTTAATTTTTTAAATATTTTTTAGTTATCATTTTTTTTCTAATATTTTTTAATAATTTTTTTTATCTTATATCTTTTTATTCTTTTCTAATAAATTTCTAAATTATTATAAAATTTGAATAAAAATACTAAATAAAATTTAAATAAATTAACTAAAATTAATAAATAAAATTTTTAATTTAAAAACTAATTAAAATTTAAGTAAATTATCTAATAATAGCTATTATTAAAAAATTTAAATTAAAATATATAGGTATATAAGTATATATTTAATAATAATTTTTTAATACTTTTAACAATTTTTTAAAAATAATTTTCAATATTATTTTAACTAAATGTTTTTAATTTTTTTTTGGTTTTTTTAATATTTTTTATTGATAATTTTCTTTTCTAATATTTTTTGATACTTTCTATTTTATTTTCATATGTTTTAGTTATTTCATTTTATTTCCATTAAAGTTAGTTCCTCAAAAATGTCTTACCTTTAATGCAGCCACTGGAAAGGCAACTGGAAGCCTTAAATTAAAACAACAAATATATATTTTTTAAATACCACTTGCACTTTATTTCACGTTTAAATAAGTGGAATCGGGGTCGGAGGTTGTAGAGTGGGGTTAGGGGTGAATTTTGTGTTTTACCAATTAAAATTTTGTAATTTTTTTATTAAATACATTTTTTTAAATATATACAATACCCTTTTCTTTGCTTCACTTGGCAAACATTTTTGTTTTTGTTTTATTAGTTTTTAATTTTTAATACTGCTTTTGTTTTTTATTTTGTAACTTGTTTTCACCACTTACAATTGGTTTTTTTTCATATTTTTTCGATAATTTTTCATATGTTCAATTATGTATTTAATTTTTATAATTTTCTTAGGTTTAATTTTCTTTTTGTGCTCCTGCAATATTTTGTAATACAGTTACTTTGAAAACATGTAGTCAAAATTTCTGCAAAATTTCAAAATTTTTATATTTATTCACACATTAAATTTTAGTAAATTCTTTCGGGTTTTTGCATGATATTTTACTATTTTTTCTTTTAATTTTTGAAATTAATTGCATATTTGCATAATTTTTGGTTTTCAATTTATTGTTATTGTTATTAAAATTATAATTCTTTTTTTTCGTATTTTTTCATTATTTAAATTTATTAATTTTTCAACTAATTTTATGATACTGAAATCGAAAATTGTTAAAAATTTTATATAAATAGAGGTTTTATTATGTTTTTATCTTTTTGTTTGAGTAATATTTAAGTTATAATAATTACATTTTGGTGACAAAATTTAGAGCAATTTTTGCTTTTTTTAAATTTTAGTTGTTTTCGTAAAGTAAATTTTTTTAACTTCACCACTTTTTGTTTGTTTTCTGATATTTCTTGTTTTTCTTGTAAAAAATATTTTCTTTGTTTATTTTTTCCAATTAAAATTATTTTTTTGTATTTATTTCTTACCATGATTCAATTATAGTTTCTTACTTATGTAAATCTTGAGTTGCTGAGGTACTTTGTTTCCATTTTTATGTTTAATTTTGACGATATTTTACTTTAAGATTTTGTAACAAGAACTTAGAGAGCTGCAGATTGTTTGAAACTAAGAAATAGAGGGGTTTAGTTCTTGTTTAGGATATAAACAGCGCATCTAGTCAAGAAACAGCAGACAAGTGTGTGAATATGTGGCATTAGTGAGTTTGAAACTGTTAATAGCAGTTTCTAAAATACTTAAAACAATTAAATTAACTGCTTGTTTGAAACACATTTTTGTATTTCCAACATAGAAATTTTAGTCTGAAACAACCAAATATTTTTTTATTTATTTATAATTCTTCAACAACCCTCCTCGTTCTTGCTCATTTTAGTATTTTTTTTTCTATATTGCATTGTCACTACTTTACTCAGATTTTTTATGCATTTTTTATGAATTTTACTTTTCAGAAAAAAATTCTCAACGGTGTTTGTTTCATTTCTGCACAATAATTCGCATATTGTCTATGCGCAATTTGAGCTTCTGTTCGCTTTTCATTTATTGCAGTTCTTTTAAACGCTACCTTTCATAATTCTGTTTCATTTCTTTATTTTTTTATTGCTTTTTATAAATTTGCTACTTTAAAATTGTCAATACTTTGTCATATATTGCTAAACTTTCAAACAGTTGCACCAAAACTGTTCCGGTTTTTGAAAATATCAAAATTGAACTGTGCCTTTTTTGAGAGTTATCAATGAAATTAAAAATAAACTATTTTTTATTAAATTTTTTAAAGCATAATTTTCAAAGATTAGCAGATTTTTGTATAGATCTACTTTTATTAACTATATCTTAAACTATTTGGGTATTTTCGTTCGAAAATTTGTCAAATTACGTCATACCACTATGTTTTAACTGACTAATTGTGATTTCTCACATTTTTTTAAGTGATCGAAAGTATAAATTTTTTGTAGAAAAGCCTGTTTTTAATTAAGTTATTGTATTTCGTTGTGAATTCGCTTATGAACCTAATAAAAATATTCAACAAATTAATTACAACCACTAATTAAACAAAAATTACTCATAAAATGTAGTTGGACGATAAACAATCGGTGGATTTGTTGGAAAACAAGCCATTTATAATTACATTTTTGTTTTTTTGCAAACAATTTTTAGTGAAAAATAAAAAAACATTTTAATCATTTTGAAAAAATAAAAAGTAATTTAATAATTTTTAAATTAATTTAAAAATTTAAATATTATAATAATTCAAAAATTTAATTTAATTTATTTATTAAAAAAATTAATTAATAATTAAAACAATTAAACAAATTGTAATATAACTTAATTTTTTAAAATTCATTAAAAAATTATTAATTTCATTAAATTTTTTTTTTATATAATTCAGTTTTTTAAAAAAATAAGTAATACTTCAATTAACTAAATAAAATTTAATATAATTTAGTAAAAAAAAATTTAATTTAATTTAAAAAAAAATTACATATAATTTAACTTTAACATTTTTTTTATTTAATAAAAAAATAAAATTCAATAAATAAAAAAAATTAATTATACAAAAATAATAATTTGTTATTTAATTAAGTTCATGGAAATAAATAAATTTCATTAAAAATTTTAAAATAAATTCTTTAATTTAAAAATAATTTTATTTTTAAATTTTTAATTAAATACATTTTTGTTAAATAATTTTAAAAAAAATTTAATTCGTTAAACAAATTAAATTAATTATTTAAAAAAAGTAATTTAATTAAATATTTTTGTGTTTTAGTTCTATTGAAATATATAAAAATATTTGTTAAAGAAAAAACTAAAAATTAAATTACTAACGCAATATCAATTTTTTGTAAATAAATATTTTTAATAAAATTTAATTATTAATATTTTTATAATTTCTTTTTGAGAATTAACTAAAGTTTTTTTTGTTTTCGTGTTGATTGAAAAATATTTTCAATTTCAGTTTTCAAAATAATTAAAATTTTAAGTACAGTTTTTTTTTTTAATTTTCGTTTAAATATTTGAATTTTATAGTAATTCAGTTCA